GGAGGTTGTTTTTTTTTTAAATAATTTTTTTAAAGGGGAAGGGAAAGAGGAGATGGGAAACAGAAATAGAAAAAGGGAGATAGGATGACAGAAAAAAAGAACTGCAATACAAAGATAAAGAGAGAGAACAGCAGGAAAGAGAGGTGGAGAAAGAGAGAGAGGGGAAGAGAGAGGGAGAGAAAAGAGGAGAGAAGAGAAAAAGAGGAGAGAAGAGAAAAAGAGGAGAGAAGAGAAAAAGAGGAGAGAAGAGAAAAAGAGGAGAGAAAAGAGGAGAGAAGAGAAGAGAGAGAGAAAGAAAGAGAGAGAAAGAAAGAGAGGGGAGAGAGAAAGAAAGAGAGGGGAGAGAGAGAGAAAAAAAGAAGAGAGAGAGAGAGAGAGAGACAGACAGACAGACACAGACAGAGAAGGGGGAAAGAAAAACATTTACTACACTATATATATGCACACACTACTATAAGCATGGACAACTCTAAAATAATAAGGAAATGTTGAAGTTCTGGATCTAAAATCAATATTTTCAAATAAATTGCCCACCTAGAGTTTGAATATTACATTATCCACTACATACACATAAAATTTGGAGCATTTACACCACAGTTGCATGAAAACAGGTTTCAAATGCAATGCATATATTCTATTACACTTTAAAAATCTCTATCTAGTGTGAAAGCAACCACTGTGTCTGTTGATGAAATCTACATCAGATGGTAAACAACTGTAGTCTGATCTCTTTTGCTCCCCATCTCTCTGGCTCTCTCTCTCTCTTTCTTTTCTTTCTCTCTCTGGCTCTGTCCTCTGTATTAAACAAATATTATCAACACTTCCTCTCTATTTCTTGTGTGTGTGTGTGTCGTCCCCCCTCTCGCCCCCCCTCTCTCTCTCTCTCTCTCTCTCTCTCTCTCTCTCTCTGTTTCTCTCTAGTTCTTTCCTATTCTAATTATCTGCATTTCTCTCTAGGACAAATCGCCTAATACTTTTCTGTCTTTTATCAAATTGCAAAATTGCCCTTCTCCCTCATTCTCTCTCCCATCTTTCCCCCTTTTATATTCTCTCTCTCTCTCTCTCTCTTTCTTTCTCTATTCATCTATTTCTCCATCTCTGTTTAAACCTACGCATCTTTTCATTTTTCATCTATCACTCTTTCCAAATATCATTCTTAACTTTCTCCATCTCTCTCTCTCTCTCTCTCTCTCTCTCGGGGCAATCAATAACACTTTACTTTACCTGCGAACCGCACGCTACAAAACAAAGCAAAATACCAAGCTCGCTCGCTCTCGGCTGCTCTATCCCCAGCTGGGAACCTGAGAAAGACTAAGCACTGAGAACACAAGTCACATGATCAACTCAAAGTATCAGGTGATCCAAGACTCTCTTATCACATGATCTCATCTTACTTTGACGGGGAAGGCAAAACTCTCAGAGCTGACCGAATTTTGTCACTTTTTAAGTGAAAAGATGACGAGGAAAACTGAAAGGACGCTCTTATTGATGGGTAGTTCTCCTGAAACAAAACACGAATCTAATTTTATGGAGTGACATTCTTGATAGAGTGGGTATATCAATTCCGTATTCATGTGAAATACAAGACATCTAGAGAATGACTTACTTAATCACATGACTTGCTATTGTGAAGTCACTTTCAAAGAGGGCATGTGTTGCGAAATGAGGAAAAATAAGAAGTTTGCAAAGCACAAAATTTGAAAAACAAGACAAACACACAAAACAGAAAACAAAACTAGTGACTCCTACTCTTTTCATTGCACACATTTCAATTATGAAGTCACAGTCACACTCAAAGGAACATGAAGCAAAAGGGAGCACAGAAGAAAGTTACATGTAGATGGCATAATGCGGGGTTTGAATTTTCCAGGTTACAGACTTTACCTCCATTGTACGTGTAGTATTTCAGTTTAGTTTTCTTCAACTTAGTGTACTCCAGAATTTTTGTTCTATTACTTCTCTCACAAGAGCGAGTTCCAGTGGAAGACTGAAAATTCTCTGACATGCACAAAAAGGCCATCAGTACATGCTTTTTTCTTTTCTTTTCTCACTATTTTTCTCTGGCTCCTTTCTTTCTTTTTACCTATTTTTAAAAACATTTTTAACCCCTCTTTTATTTTAGAGCTGTTTGGCACATGCCTCCTGCACCCCTGGATCTGCCACTGAATTCATCACCTTCGGTCACGTAGCCCATAGAGTGTGATTCACGCTATCATTATGACTTAATCTATGCTGAGCTTCCATCTTTGACTAACCTATAATAAATATCACACAAACTCAGAGTAATCTTGCCTCTAAAACCAATAAAATGGCCTTTTAATTCTCCAACTAGTAGCCCCTCAATTTTATTTTTTTGAGATAGATTTAGTGTTAAACAAAATTTGGAAATATCTCTTCCAGAAGGAACTTGTAGAAGTTGCACTGTAAACATGCAGGATCATACTGAAACCTAACCTATAAAAACTTACTGCCACACTGAACAAAGACTATCCAGAATTTGACAGTTCTAAATGTCCAATAAAAGAAGTCTGGACAACAGACAGGTCACACATGCCAAGTATTGAATATCAGCCGCAGGATGAAACATAAGAACATCCTAATGTATCACTTGATATCAAAATATGACAGCTAGGGGTTTATAGTTTCAAAACTGCATTAGATTCTTTGTCCCACTTGCAGGGTGCTCTGCTGCAGAAGAAGATGATATCTGTAGAACGCATGTTGGTGGAAGGAAGAATAGATATATAATACACCTAGAGATTGCATCTGGGGTTATTGAATGTTCAGTGGGTGGAATATAAGATTGTGGGAGTATGACATTAGAAGGTAACTCGTGCTCGAACATGTGCATGCAATATACTTTGGGCTATCGATCTTTATGTATCCGTCAGCTGAGAAAACATGTCTAGCTTTAGAACAAAATTTTTTGATTTTATGGGAAATCGAAAGGACTTGTATTAAATAATGAGAAGGGTGAAAATGTTTGGTATTCAAAGATATCCTCTGGGTCGCATGCCTACACCCAACAACAAAACCACAATCTGGGATACCTTAAATAGACAGATAATGAAAAATGTGCCAACTAATTGTGAAATCTAGCAATTTTTGACCCGAAATGCACCTGACAATGTAACATACCCCTTTCAGATTGTCAGTAAAAAAAGCATTTAAAAATGTAATGCCATATCTATCTATTTCTTAAAATGAAAAGTGAATTGAACTCAAATATCCATTTTAAAGACTGTCAATACTACTGGGCCAGGAGGGATTAGACCACACAGCGAGGTCACTGACAGGTGGCTATCTCATTAACTCAGCTCTCAACTAACATAAGAAACAGAGGATCATGGGGGACCAACAGGCACCGATTGGGGAAGTTTTCTATATAGAGGGAGCAAGTAGCTACAAGTAGGACAGTGGGGCTTTAACATGAGTGTATTCAAAGGTGTAAAAAATGCAATCAAATTCTATTAATTCATTGCTGGCTATTTGATAACTCATCTCAAAACAGCTGGGGAAATACCTTTCATAAAATTCAACAACCTTTACAAAAATAAAAGATGCATGATTTTGCGAGAGAATGGTTTATGGGGCCTGTTTCATAAAACTTGTTATCTATAACAACTGCTAAATTTCTATGACAAATTTGCCCCTCAGCCAATCAGATGCCATGATTTCAGTAGCTTATAACAGTAGCTTGTAACTTGTTATTGATAACAAGTGTGATCAAACAGGGCCCTGCAAGTGATCCTACATGCAGTGCATCGGGTCAAACATCTGACAGTCTGGCGCAATTAAAGCACGGCTCGTAAAATGCGCTCTCAATTCTAACACCTTACCAAATCTTCTTGGTAATTTCAAGCAACAAAAGAGGAGAGCCTATAGTATCCAATGACGAGTGAAATTCTGGCAAAGAACGTTCCCGGTTTAAGGTTTAAAAGCGTGGTGCAGTCGAAACCTTTCCCGCCACAGGCAAGGATATTATAGCGAGTAACATGGTCTTGATATGCGATACCACAACTTGCCGTATATATGTACAAATCTTGGTTTAGTTGTTAACGACCAGCTGCAGGGTTTATCATCAAATAAGTCAAATTCCACCACATGTACTTTATATATTCAGTTATCTTTTTTGAAACATCATGGGGGGGGGGGGGAGGCAGGGGCAGTCGGTAAATAAAATGCAAATTGATTTTTCTTTTCTTTTGCCATTTGATTTGAGAACAAGTCCCCCTGCCCCCCCCCCCCTATTCTCCTGTGCCCCCATGGCTACGCCACTGTATCTATGAACATGACATCCATGGTAAATATAGCAATCGACAAGCAAAAAATGCTGACTCTATACCATTTCGGCAAGGAATATACAAGTTCATGTTTTTTTACATTGCTCTCTTGAATACATGTATATGGTTTAAAACTACTCTACAATGATTTCTCTGATATTTGCAAACATCTGAAGTACAATGACTCATAATGTACTCTTTGAGATCACTTATTAAAACTACACAACCTGCGCATTTCAAATCAAAGTGGAATTTAAAAGACAGTCTAAAGTTTTTGTCAAACACAAAAAGAAAATGCTTATAAAATAAAACAATATTTAGACTTAATTTCAAAGACGACAAAGAAGTGATATATGTCAATATTTGTTTATTAGCCCAAAGTAGTGGAAGGCAAGGTAATAAAATAGGGTCCATCAAAAGTCTATATGGTCCCATAGGTCCATATCTGTGTTAGTATTTTCAAGTGTATCAAATCCAGAATATTTTTTGTTATATGTTACATAAGTAATTTGTATTAATTCCTTTTTATGTTTATATATTAACATTTTGTCAGTCTAAGCAACCCATTCACTGCATGATGAAAATTTATGATAAATGCATAATAAAACTATAAAGACTTTTAGACAATACTTTGAGAAATCCAGCTTCATGGCAAGAACTATAAGAATACCTTTAAAGGATTTTATGATTACAGCCATATTCCCCTATTAAACTCACCTCTGGTAGTAATGTCCTCGTAAGGGCTGGATCCACGGCCTGTAAAGAGAAAAAGAAAAGGAGAAAAAATCATGAGTATTCTATGGCAACGGACTAAAACATGAGTGGAAAATTCAGTCAACATGGCAGTAATTAGCGGTACTCACTCGACGCTGGCGCCAGCGTGTCTGCGAGCATCTACGGCAGTGCATCTCTAGTGTCACGCCCAGTCTAGAAGGAAATAGTCTTTAGACATCTTCTGTCTTATGCTATGACCTTCTTTATTCCGTTTGGAATGAATGATTTATGGGAGAATGCGATGGAGGCACTTGATATCTATTGCTTGAGATGCACCATGCCTTCTTGGTGAATTATATCTGAAGCGATAGTGGTTCAAAACATCGTCAACGACAAGCAGTAAAACAAAAGTGAAGGAGGAGGCTTGATAGCTCAAAGATTAAAACAGGAGGACAGGAAAATACAGTTTAATATGTTAGTACATGGGTTATAACCTAATTACAAAACTTAATCCGTTGCTTACTGGAACCTGGTGGTCCCTGTGTTAAGCCTATGGGAATTAGATAACTCAGGAGTCAACGGGTTAAAATGGATCAAAGCACCATCGACTACAAGCAATAATCTTCAGGGGATTAGGAGCCTCAATAGCTTGGGCTTTACTCAGCAGGCCTGGAAAATATGGTTTGATATTTTTATAGAGGATATAAACCTCATTAGAATCAGGTTATGAACAGACTCCATCAGGTTTTTACAAATTTCAGGATAGATCTGAAGCTATGTAGTTCAAAGCATACACGCAGTAATCTTCAAGCATTTAACAGGAATTAGAAGGTTTCATAACTCAGGTTATGACCAAACTAGATCAGCAGCAGGCCTGGATAGTACGGTTTAACATGTTTTGAAAGAGGTTTTAGCCTGAGAATCAACGGTAAACTATAAGGAGTAATCTTCTAGTATATAACAGGAATAAGAAAGTTTTATAACTCAAAGTATTAAAGCAGGGCTGGAAAATCAGGGTTTTTCAGCCAATATAAGCTTATAAAAAATTTCATGAAAATTAAAAGGAGGTTGGTTCAAAGAATTGTCAACTATAAGCAGTAAAACTCAATGTTTAAAGCTCAAGTTCTAGGAATAATAATTAACAGTAATAGAAAAGAAAATTTTAGTTTGTTTATAGAAGGATTTACTGTACATAATTTGCGCCTGGTTGTAATTTGATTTTACCAAAAATTAGGGGTACATCAAAAAACAATATGGTTGAAAGCATTGTCAACTACAAGCAGCAAAATAGCTAATTGGTTATAATATATGAGAGATCCTAAAATGGTTTCAGTTAATATAGGGGTCAAAGGTCAACACCATTTGAAAACACTCATTTTGTTTTCCATAAAACATTACTTTGATTAGTTCTCTATTCCTTCTAATGTAAATGCGATTTCCTCTCTCTACACAGCTATTACCATTTCTCCTTCCTTCTCTCTCTCTCTCTTTCTCTCTCTCTCTCCCTTCATCTAACTCTCTTATCCTATATCTCTTCCTCTATCTTCCTCCTCTCTCTCTCTCCATTTCTCCCTGCATCTCTCCACCTCCCTTAGCACGACTCTCAATCTTTAACTAAATCCAGTCCAAATTTGTTTAGTCTGCCGTTTACACGCACCATTCCATCAGACAAACATTATAAATTACCCTCTCGACTACTCCTACAGCATCCTGTTCCCCCGCTCTCTACCATAGCTGCGTGAATGAGCGTGCTCGACCAGCGCCGACATTGTCTGCCTCAAATCATACGTGCACTTCCGCAGCGGGATACTTTATCGCCGTGTCTGTCTGACCTTTAGCATGTACCAAACACATGAGTGATTAGCTGTCTAGATAGCTTTAATGCAGGCCTAATGTAAACGGCACTTGAATCTACCCCACGCTAGTAAAAACAACATCGAGCAGTCAAATCGTATGTTCATTGCCAGAAGGGCGTTAACTCTGTGTTAAAGTATATGAGTTAACGCCCTCCTGGCTCCATAAAGACGGTTACTACTTGCTCCAACACAAATCAGAAGAAGCCCACCTACTATTAAAGAAGGAAAGAGGAACACAAACCGTGATATATCCAAAAGATCACCACTAAAAGTGTGACAGATATGCTATATATCCTAAATCAAATGCCTCTAGGGAGTGATGAATGTTTAGATTACTTGAGGTGCGCCAGGAGCAGGTATATCGTCTGCTCAGAGGCAGAAAGGCATTAACTCATATCATTTCTTACCGGGTTAACACCCTTGTAGCTCTCAACAGCTCGTTTCCAGTAGATCAGTACTAAGACTTTGACAGATCTGCTATGTATCCTAAATCAAATGCCTCTAGTGAGTGATGAATGTTTAGATTGCTTGAGGTGCGCAAGGAGCAGGTATATCGTCTGCTCAGAGGCAGACAGGCCTTAGACCACATCCCTCATTTCAGAGTTAATGCCCTTCTCGCTCTCAGAAGCTCATCAGAGCTGAACTAACTATAATCTATTTGATCATGATGTCTGGGAAAGAAAATGTTTAAGCTAAGATGGATTAGATTTATGAGGTTAAAGTCTACGTTCATATCTACCAAAGATTAGTGCTCTAGGGGGTGTTTTACAAAAATCCTAAGTTGAACTTATCTCTAAGTTAGACTTAATTATCATGGAAAGCCGTTAGTAAAAGTTATTTTAAAAGGCATCAAATGTTGATTTAAATCACTCATATTTCTTATTATCAGTGACCGGTTTTACCATACTCGTTTTCCCCGATAGACTGTAGGGTTATGAAAACCATTAGGAAAGCGCAAAATTTGATTTCAATTTTCCAATCATACACTCTTGGTCATAATGGTGGAATATTTATTTTTACCCCAGTTTAGGGAAGGATTTAAAAAAATTAGTTATTTCGAATAGATCTAGATAATGGCATACATTCTCAGATTTTATTGAATATTAATTTGCGAGTGTTTGTTTTGCGTGACTGCTAAATCATATGTGTGCTACTATGCTAATCAGCTAGGGAACCTACGTCCTTAAATCATAATTGACAGTAATGAGGATTAATTCGTCACAAAAGGGCACTAATATATAGCCGATCGACACGATTTTTTATCCTGGGGCCTCACAGTAACGAGGCCATTGCTTAGCCCCTGAATCATGACTGTACACAGTGTTTGCTAGGGTACGCGGCCCCTTCCACAAATCCCCCAAAACGAAGAAAATGCAATTAATTTTCAAAAATCCATTGCATTCCCCCCCGGCCCCCAACAGGAAAAATTCCTCTGTAGGGCATTGCATTATGGTTCAAGGCATGGCCACACAGAGGAATTTTTCCTGTTGGGGGCCGGGGGAAAATACAATGAATTTTTGACAATTTATTGCATTTTCTTCGTTTTGGGGGATTTGTGGAAGGGGCCGCGTACCCTAGCAAAAACTGCGTACAGACATGATTTAGGGGCTAAGCAATGGCCTCGTTACTGTGAGGCCCCAGGATAAAAATCGTGTCGATCAGCTATATTAGTGCCCTTTTTTGAGGCATTAATCCTCATTACTGTCAATCATGATTTAAGGACGTAGGTTCCCTAGCTGATTAGCATAGTAGCACACATATGATTTAGCAGTCACCCAAAACAAACATTCGCAAATTAATATTCAATAAAATCTGAGAATGTATGCCATTATCTAGATCTATTAGAAATAAATAATTTTTAAAAATCCTTCCATAAAGTAGGGTAAAAATAATTATTCCACCATTATGACCAACAGTGTAGATATCTTGATAGTCAGACAGGCGATCGGCTTGTAAAAGTCATGGGGTTCCTGATTAATTAACCTAAAGGTTAATAATTATCATTGAAGCATGAGCTGAATCCAGGATTTTGTTTCAGAATCTGAGACAAAGTTACTCAATCCCTTTAACTGAAAGCAACTTATTCCGAGATATCATTTATTTTCATTAACTCAAGGCTCAGACCTTTTATGACCACCATACTTGTTTATTATCCTGAGAAAGTAATAATGAGCTGCAAATGTCAATGATTCAAGTTATAATGATGTCATAAAAAATTAATATATATCCCACACAAAGTGGTTCATTCTGCATGTGGGCACGGTATTGAGTGGGTTGGGGTTCGAAGAATTCATTAGAATATTCACCAGTTTCTAAATTGAGGTAGAAATTTTTTAAGGATGTGAAGAATATTAACGAGCTATCGTAATACTGGTTTTGGTCCGAGGACTATTTATTGCTTGTATCGGTGGTATCAATAGCATTACCAGTTGAGGATGAAGAGGAGGAGAAAGAGGAGGAGTAGTGATGGTGGTGGTCACAGTAGAAGTAGTATAGAGCATTGTTGTAACACTGTGAGAATTTTAGCAGTACATTGTGGTAACAATTTATTTTGGTTTCACCAACAAGATATTCACAGATAAATTAGCACTATATGCATGAATCTTCCTTAGATCTGAACATACAAATTTGACGATAATACATGCATGTATTTAGTACATGCATTTAGAATTTTCATTAAAAAAAAACTGGTAAATTCTTTATCAGTGTATTTTGATCAAGTACAATATATACACCCAGTGGGGTCACTCAATGTGACTTCCGGACCGCATGACCGTTACCAAAATCGCGGAAAAAGGGGTCAATTTCAAGCAATGTCCGCGGACAAAATATTCCTCGAATTAAAGAGAATAGGGGTGCACGTGCAGGTGTCCCCGAAATTGGTAAATAGGGGTCAGGAAAAGGGAAAAGAGAAAACCGGGAAGAAAAATTCTCGGAGCCGAGTCTTGTCCTTGAAATATGGTAAAATAGGGGTAAATTTGCAAAAGTGTCCTTACAATCTTATAAATAGGGGTATTCCAAAGTACGATTTTGTCCTTGTTTTGACGTAAAAAAGGGGTTTAAATTTCACAAAATGTCCTTGAAATTGACCGCAAAAGGGGGTTATATGCATTGGTGGTAACGGTCATACGTGTCACTCTTTGCAGGGGAGTGATCCCACCGGGTATATACACCCCGACGAACTTAAT